CAGCAGCAGCAGCAGCATCAAGCCTTTCTGTTGGTCTAACTAAGTGGTCTTCAGCAAATTGAAAGTCAGCATACAAATTAGATATTTCTGCGAAGGATAGTTGTACCTCTACTCGATAAATTTGTGGGCATGCCTGATCTAGCAGGCCCCGATGACATCGCGAATTGTATCTCTCCAGGTCACTTTCATATCTAAGCGACTTGTATCCAGGCAAGTATAAAATTACCTCACCCTCCCCCCCTCCGACGCCTCCAATGACGCCGGACCAAGAAGGGCAACGTTAAGCTAATTAGGCGAACTCCCAAACCACCTCACTCTTTTTTCCTGGATGGCCTGAGATATCCATGTGATACCCGACTTCTCCACCCGAAAAAAACTTAGTGTTTTCCATCCTACATGGGGATATCTATGGCGATGAAGATATAGCGGTTGGTCAACAGAAACCTTCTAAGGACTGTCAAAACCCCGCGAGCATGATCGATTTGGTAGATTTGCTTATTCTGTCCATTCAACAGCATCCCCACCAAGAAATAGTTGATACTGGCCATTTCTTCAATTTGAAAGTCATTAATTGCGAGCAGTCCCTGCTGATGGTCAAGGAGATACAGTAGTCGCCGGTTATTAAGCACACATCGGGCCCAGACCAAATTGGGTTTAATAAGCGGCGGGCTTATTAACCGTGGGCTTAATAACCGGCGACTACTGTAGTTTGAAAACGCTATGGTCTTCCTAGCGTCTATGGAAAATTGACCTATGTTGTGACTCCATCTACTGGCATTAACAATCCGTAGGTCATCAAACCTTAAGGCTAGCAGCTCGATAACATCAGTGTAGTCAAGAATAGTCAGTCAACGTCTGAGCTCAAACCGCCTAGGATCCTTCCAAGAAATCAGGCAATGCAGAAAGGATACAGATGTGAACTGTTGGTACTCATGGCGGAAGGTGGATGAAATATAAATGAAAACGTAAAAGTCCCTGTATACTAGAAAGAACAATTAAAATGAGGCAGGCTACTGGG